TGGAGGGGCCCTTTCCAGCTCTGTCCTGTCCCCCCCCCCCCGTGGGGCATCGAGGTCTGCTGCACCAAGCGGCAGCGGCTCTGGGAGTTGCCTGTGGCCCCACAGCCTCCTTGGAGGCTGGGCGGGGGGCCACCTCCCTTCTGGCAGAGACAGAAGCCACCGCTGCCTCTGCCCCGCCCCCTGTCAGCTACGCTGCCATGAGGGTTGGGGGTGGGGTGCTAGCTTGCCAGGACTGCTGCATTCCTTTCCAGCTTCTGTAAGGCTTGCTTATCTGTGGCCTTGCAGGTGGGGTGCTGTGTCTGGGATTCTAGGGAACCGTGTATGCTTGTAGGGGCAACGCCATTCTTAACAGTGCCTTTGTTAATGCATCTATAGCTCTTCAATAAAGTATAACCTTTCCATGAAGCCTGTAGTCAGTTGTTGACCCCCCCCCAGGGGGTCATGAAGTGCAGGAGCTCTGCGGAAGACAGCGGGGGGGGGGATGGGACGCAGCAGCAGCCGCCTCTGGGCTACCGGAGGGCTGGGAGTTGTGTGTGGGAGGTCGTGAAGGGCCGCTGGCTCCTGCCTGTCCCGGATGCTCCCCTGGGTAGGTCCGGTTCTGTTTTGCGGCCTTTGCAGCCGTTCGCATTCACGCGACCACCTGGAGGACATTCTGATGGAGGTTTCCCAAAAGGAACCGCGGGAACAGCAGCCAAGTGGTTGGTGGCAGTCGGGGCCGAGCAGAGCCAACGGCTGCCTCTCTCTCTCTCCCTCCCTCTGGGTCTGTTGAGGACACTCTTGCGGTTCCAGAGAAGGGCCCCGCAGGCAGAAAGAGATGGGCCTTGCAGGAAGTTGGGGGGCAGGGGGGCGGCAGACCTCCTCACGGGGCCTGCCCTTGACCGCCTGCCTTTGCTTGCAGCCCTGCTCGTGCCCTGGAGGCTGCTCCCCAGCCCGCTGCCCTTGCGTCTCGCGTAGCAAGTGCCCCTGGTACACGATGGTAGGTTGAAGGGTGGTGGGCTGGGTGAGGCCCTTTGCCAGTGGGCCAGACCGGGACACCCCCCTTCCTCCCCCCCCTTGTGTGTGCTCCAGGACGGCCGACTCGTGCCAGGCGCCAGCCCCTCCCCCGCGGAGACGGGCCTCCTCTTCGAGTGTGGGGTGCTCTGCGCCTGTGCCAGCTCCTGCCCAAACCGGGTGGTGCAGAGGGGCACGAGGTGAGTGAGGCCAGCTTCCCTCAGGTGGAGGGAGGGGACCCTGTGGGCCTCGGCCAGCCGGCTGTGTTCCTCAGCCACTCCAGGGAGGACTCCCCCCCCCTCTCAGGCCCCAGAGGCTGTGGCGGGGGTGGGTGGGGGGCACCCACTCACTCTGTCTCCGGTGCCCCCCACCCCGCTGCCTCCTCTGTTTTGCAGGGTTCAGCTCCAGCTGTTCCGGCTGCCGGCCAAGGGCTGGGGAGTGCGCACCGTGCAGGACGTGCCCCGTGGAGCCTTCCTGTGCCAGTGAGTCTGGGGGGGGGGGCGTTTATCCGGCTTCTGTGCCCCCTTCTGGGAGATCCCCTCCAGACAATAGAGGCCAAGAGGCCCAGTCTCAGCCCCCCCCTCCGCGCTCTCTGCCAGGTACTTTGGGGAGCTGATTTCCCGGACGGAGGCCGGCCGGAGACAGGAAGATGCCTACTACTTTGTGATGGACACCCCGGTGAGAGAGAGGGCGGCCTGAGGAGGGGTCGGGCCTGGTCATCCCGTCCCCCCCCCACCCCCCCACTGTTGACGGTTGTGCTCCCCC